ACATTTCCATTTGTCTCTTTCCTGCCATTAAATGTGAATGTCAAAAATCTGTGAAAAACTCTCATGGCAAGATTTCTTAACTTCGTAGATTTACACTATGTGGATGATAAACCCCTATTCCAGAAACATCCGTCCAAGCTTATTTGGAATCCCACGTTCTGGGTAGGCTATCCAAACCTTCAAAATCAATTCCTATCCAGTTTGCTAAGTCCTGTGGCCTCACTACACAATTCTGATTCTTTAATCTAAAAAACATTGTATATGGCGGTAAATCATCAGTACTTGTCTCCACAACTTCCAAACTACTAAAAAACTCGTAAATCAAATGCTTATATTCGTCATATCTAATACTCGCCAACTGCTCCCATTTCAAATTACGGATCCAACCATTAATCTCATCACTTAAACCCAAACTAGTTATAAATCCTAAATCCAAACTTCTTCTATGACAAGTATCTCTTTTCGCCATCTCTTTGTATTGCTTTTTATGTTGCATGTCTCGAAATTGGACTCCAGATGACGATGAGCCTCCACCCTAAGTGGTTGTGTTTTTTGCTCTTACCATTTTCTGCTTTCTTCTAAAACCCTGAAAAAAACATATCCATAAGTAATGTATAGCAAGATTATTACCGTGACTATATCCAAATGCAGTTCCTTGAGGCATGCCAAATGCAGCATTAGGATAACATTAAGGAAGCTTAGATACATAGTGAGATAGAACTAAAACATAACATTAAGTAATTGTATCGTTTGAACTCTTTGTCAAACCATCAAAGAAGATCGACTCACAAGTCACAAAAACCATCAGCAACAGAAAGAATATTTCTCAAATCTCAAGATTAATTGGCACTAAATCACTTATATCATTTAAAATGTGTGGCAAATGGTCAAATAATTTCTGCTTTACAAGATACTTCCTGTGGTATTAATTAACATTTGGAAACAGTGAATGAAAATATTGTAAGCACTAAGGTTTAAACCGATTCAAATCCAAGATTAGGTCAGCCTGTAATGTGAATCCAAGATTAGGTCAGCCTGTAATTTAAAAATGGAGTACATATTGTAAACTAACAGCAATAGAGGCCAAAAATACCACACTGGTTTCAAAATCGCAATGTCTATATCCACACAGTGAATGTAGTTTTCTAACTTTACAGTCACTTTCCCACTTTGGTCTAAACAAAGCATATAAAATAAAAATGTCAGAGAACTAATCTCAACACCAAGTTTTAAATTACACAATAAAAAAAAGATCGTCAAAAAACTATTCAGGCGGATGATTCATAAATTTGCAAGCTGAAAACTTCTTTCTCCATCAAGACAAGGCTACAACTTCTATGAAAGCATCAAATTTCAAATCCCTCATTCGATAACATAGATAAATAGCTGAAAGTGAACTGAATACGACACAATCAATTATCATGCTGCTTAAATTTCACACTCTACTAGCAGGTTTCACCATACCCTATGATCAGTAACTTTAAACTTACGTAGCAATAATCCCAAGTCATGCTACAATACAAGAATAGAATTTCCTAAAATCTCACAGCAATAAACTACTACAATTTTAAAGAATAGTCATTTTTTGTTGCTGAACCTTTCCTCCCAATAAAAACAAAGTCTCTTTGATGACAATATCCATACAAGTTTAGAACCAGCCCAATTTGGTTTAGAACACTGTCACTTCATTAAACTTCCTAGAATTTGTGTTGATAACTAAGCTCAATATGTCAAGCAAAATGTAGATTTTAAAACAATCGACAAGAAAACTGAGTCTGGTCAGGTACTACTAAAACCAACTCTGCCTGGATATACACATACACAAGCCTTAATATTGAGTCTGGTCAAGTACTGCTGAAACCAGTAAATATGAAAAATAAAAGTGATAAAAAGTATTTCCCCAATGCTATTACACATTTGACATTTGTAGCAATGGTGAAGAGCTAAAAAATCAAAGACAAAATGGTTAAATCTGATAGCCAACATCTTGGCAAACAAAGAAGACTTAATTATATAAGGCAGGAACTGCGCAACCCCTATCATCTAACCTTGTCCATTGGACACACTAATTTTTGCCTAGCAATGCAATGGTTGACTACAAATTTCAGACATAATCAACAGAGAACAACACAACCAACAAAAATGTTATCTTTTTCCATGCCAAAAACACCCAAAACAGAGCACTTCTATTTGTCAATCACACAAACCAGTCCCACCAAATTGAATGGATTTCTCTTTATCAACTCAACTCCATTCAACACAAATGTAAATCCAACACATTTATCCAACATAAAAAAAAAAATTAAAAAAAAAAAATTGAAAAACGAAAGTGTCTAATTACCGCGGCTGATTTTTTTTTTGAGATGAAGAAGACAAGCTGATGAGATGAAGAAGACGAGCAGACCAGAGCGCAGATGGAAGAAGAAGAAGAAGGCCGCTGCCGATTTTTTTTTTTAAACACTTTCCCCAAAAGTTTTTAACCTAAACGTATTTTCAATTTTAATTCAAATTTTTGTTTTTAATTAGAGTAGGGACGCCCGTCCAAAACTAAAGGACGGCCGTCCATTCCTCACGGACGGGCGTCCCTTAAGTGTGGACGGCCATACTTAAGGGCGTCCATACTTAAGGGACGCCCGTCCATAATTTATGGACAGGTGTCCAAATATTTTTTGTTTTTATTTTTAAACCAAATTATGGACGGGCGTCAATTCTATACAGACATCCGTCCACACATTACGTTGTCAACGGGCGTCCCAAATTTTTTTAAAATTTTATATTTTAAAAAAAGGACGGGCGTCCCTTATTTGCGGACGCCCTTCCAAAATTAAGGGATAGGCTCCCATTAACATATGAACGCCCATCCAATATGTATGGACGGCCATTCATAACCTATGAACGGCTGTCCCTAATTTTTTTTAATATTTTTTATTTTATTTATTAATGGACGAGTGTTCGTCCGTGGTAAATAGACGGTCGTTCATTAGAAAAAATTTATTAACGTAAAACGCGTTAAATGGTCTGAGTCAGCAGACACGTAAGCTGGTACAAAATTTCTGTGTAAAAACACCAGTGTCTGTAGCATTGTTGTTCAACCATGTCAGAGAAATCCTATATTTTTATCCACACATATCTTCTCTCCACTGTGAATGGATAACAAAAGACGAGCATTTATGCTTTACATAGGTGCTGTATCCCGAATAAAGCAGAGTTTATTACTAACTTGGGATCCCCTATAAATTATTTTTCGTTAGGGTTTTATTGTTTATTTTAACGGAATAGGTGTAAATGTATTTGGTTAAATGAGGGGCTCACTGACAGAATAGTGACTAAAAGGAGTAAATTGTCATTTCATGATATTCTCAGAGGTAGTTGTAATAAACTCAATAAAGAAATGGAAATTTCCATCGAAAATCTTAATCTCATTCTTCTTTTTTCTTTTTGGGTTAATTATGAAAATTATTTTTTTAGAGTAATGCTATGCTTACTCACGAACTTACTAACCACTTCACTCACCTTTGTTAAACTTACATATGGTACCCGTACTATGCTTTATATTTACAAAGGTTAGTAAATTCGTGAGTAAGCATAACATTAGTGATTTTTTTTATGGACTCCGTTGCTACTGCTGCTGCTGTATTAGTGGATTTGTTATCGCAGCTCTTAATGGTAGGATATGATTTTTTAAAGAGAAGAAGAGTTATGGTTTTATAATAGTTTCAGGGTTTTAGAAGACTAATTGAGATGTTCATAAGTTAATCCGAACACTTTAATTAAAAAAAAAAAAAAAAAAAAAGAGGTTATGGTTTTAGCTTTTAAAGATTTAAACTTCAGTTTTTGTTTTGTGATTCCATGCAATAGAAAAATGTCAAGGCCGTGGCATCCATCTTCAACTGTATAAAAGATTGAAGAGAACAAGAAGAATGTATTTTGGTGACGGTAGGAAAACAGTAATGCAGTGCAGGTAAAACACAAGTTTAGTAGAGTTTTAAAAGGAGAATAGGTTTTACTAAAATAAAAAAGCGATGGAGTGTAGGTAATTTCGGAATAAAATAGAGTGCATTAATATATTAATTTTCAAATGGATCTCTTGTAACAATCTTGACTCTCGTATAGGCTGGGTTCTGAAACCATGAATAAGACTTTAATTTTACTAGAATTAACATATTTTAATATTATTTTGAAAGACACTTGATAGCGGGGTGACATTGCTTTCTTTCATATAATATTACCAGTGTCAATTAGTTTTGAATTGTCACAAACTGTGTCTGTTGTTTTTAGTTTAAGCCTTAAATTTTGAAATAGCTTCATCCACTGTTAGGCTCTTACTTCTTCTTCAAGTTTTGGATGGTGCTTCATGTTCTACGACTATCAGCGATGAAAGGCAGTTTAGTGCGTTGCTCGGTAATGGGATTAAAAATGAAACAGGGGCTGCAGTTGTACTTGTGCCAATTAAAACAATAGACCATTACAAGATTGCAGGACAATGTTCCCCGATGGAAAAGTGAGACTCTTGAAAGTGTGTATATTGTTTTCACAGTGTTTGCAGGGTATGCTTTCTGAGCATGTCAAACTCAAAAGTCAAAAGTACTAAAGCTAAAATAAATTAAGCAGCAAATTAGCCGTTGACTACCTTTGGTACCTACAGCCAGAGCTCTAAGGGATTGAAGCAGTTTATAATATATTACATATAATGCTTATAAGAAATACAAGTACAAAATATGTCCATACCTAGAGGCTTTAGAAACTCTACACAGTCAGTGCTTACAATACACAAATACGACTATATTACAGCTAAAAACTACGATAATCAAGCCACTCTGAAAGTAGCCTCTTGAGGTCTCAGGGATCTGGCCTTGTGTCACTCTTGAGTCTGATGCATAACCTTTTCCAAAAGTTTATTTAGAGTACTTTGCGAAGTCAAAGCAAGATATCTGGAGCCAACTGCAAACAATAAAGGAGGAGTTCCTAGTAGAAGCACAGACAGAGCATAAACAAAAACATCACCAAACACAAGCTAGACTCTCAATGTGTTGAAAAGCATCAGACCATATATATTGTATCGCAAATTTATCACGAATTTTAGAACCACTTGGAGCAAACTGGTGAAGCGTTTCAAAAGTCTTCTCCTTGAGATTGTATCGAATTGCTTTCTTGGACAAGTGTAACACTACATATGAGTTATCATCATACTCTTCCCTTACCAGACACAGGATTGAATACCTGAAGGAATCTGGATTCACATAATTACGGAAAAGCATTTCAGGATATGCTGTAGCAATTCCACGGAGATCAACTTGATACTTCACAAACCACTTGGAGTAGTCTTTCTCCATTTCAAACACATTAAATAGAACGCTGAGGTTATTATAAATCTCAACAAGATGTAAATGGCCACCAGACTCTCCAAAGTAGCAAAAAATTCTGTCCTCATATCCATCAGGTATAGGAGGCATTGGCATTTCTCGCACTTCCTCTTCTTCTACGTCCAAATATAAAGATTTCTGCCAAAAATTAATCCAGTGAATGGCACCATTCCAGTAAACACCACCCAATAAAGTTAAACTGAATGGACCAAGGAAAGTATTTCCAGAAACTTGCCAACCCCCAGTTTTGGATGAGTAAATCAGCATCTCAAAACGGGTATCTTCTAAAGAATCATAAATACTCCTTACACAGATGACTTTGTAATGAGGTGATTTGGAAGGATCAAAAGCCAAGAAAATACCAGGAACAGCTCTAAAGACTCCAGTTCTGGCAGGTAGTGGAGGAAGCATTTTGTATTTCTTGGTAGTGGGATTGAAAACATAATAGTTCTCAAAAAAGTTGAAATCTAAGAAGCGGGCAAACTCCTGTGCTTTCAAACTGCAACACAATAAGAGACCATTACAAGATTGCAGAACCATGATCTGTGACGACTCATCACCAAGAGTAAGCAATTTGAAGGGAGCGCGTGGAGAACTGGAAACCAGATTGATGAAGTCGTATTCTGTGCTATCAACATTACGCAAAAAGAGGCCAGCGGTGAGTCTGGGGGCAAGGCTAAGGCGGACAGAGAAGTGGGGGTTGGAGATAAGGGACAGCCAGTGTTTGGATACAGATTTGAATTTGACGGAGGATTTGATGGGGAGGCGAATAAGCAACTCGGTCAAAAGATCATCATTGTTTGCAATTTCTTCAGCTAAGGAGATAGCTCGAGTTATGCTTGTGTCTAACTTGACTCCTTGGACGGACATCGTGGCGGCAAATATTGTGAGAGAGCCGCAGCGGCAATTTATCAAACACTTGGTGTACCAACACAATCTAATAACCCGACAGACCAGGCCACATGCATGTGTTTTGGCAAAAATATCTGCACCCACGGGATCCTGACTTCAGCCTTCACAATGACTGTAGAATCATAAGCAAATCTAATCTGAAGCTACAATCAATCTTGAAGGGTTCCAATGAAAGAACCCAGATCCCATTTTCTCTTCCACAAAAACTCAAGAATGTTTTTAGATCTGCAACTCCCTCCTGGACAGAAGTACATCATGTACATGTATAAGCTTAATAGAAAAAGACGGTTTCACCCTTGTATATAATGAAAATACAGTATTGTGGAATTAATTAACAAACACGATAAAAGTAAATTACTTATTCTTTTATCCTCCAATTAGACATGATTAGAAAAAATTAAGATCTGTAAATTGTGAAAATTACAAAAATAATCCTCCCCCCCCCCCCCCCCCCCCCCCCCCCAAAAAAAAAAAAAAAATACCAGATCTTTTTGGGTGGCTTGACAAGGAGAGGCCATGTTCAGCCTAGAGGCCCCCCGATCTAACCTCCGAAAGCAAACTCAGATCCAGTAGAGACCAAGTGTTTAAAACTGTATACCCCCAACATTCTCCACTTCGCTATTTTTCATAGCTGAGTTGTTTTCAGCAGATGTTTGTGTTAAAGATTTTGTAATTTTTTTGGTGTCAATGGTTTACAGGAAACGGAGGGAAAGATAGTAATTGTTCTAAAACATTCTTACAAGCTGCACCTGATGGTCTGCAGTTCAATATGGCCGGTGTTGCCTTTTTTTCTTTTTTTTTTTTTTCATTCAATGATGACGTAGACAAACGTTAAGAAATGACATGCCTAGTACAACTCAAATTCCTAAAGATTGGGAGGGTGGGAGGAGTTTCAGGTATTTTGGAGAGTCTTGAGAGTTGACGCTACTAATTTGATTTCTACGTTATGGACGAAGTCTATTCTGGGTGGTTTGTGATTCTTTATAATCGGACTATAAAGTTATCAAACACAGAATGACCTAAACAAATCTTTGATCATAGTTGTAGCAATTCATAATCACCAACATACATCACAAAATAAAAGACGTGAAATCACAAGAAGAATGGCGAAACCCATGATCACCTGAACATAAACATCACTAAACACAAGCCAGACTCTTAATTTGTTGAAAAGTATCAACCCATTGATAATGTCTTGCATATCTATTCCTCTTTTTAGAAACATTTGGAACAAACAGATGAAGTGTCTCGAAAGTTTTCTCCTTGAGATTGTATTGAATTACTTTGTTAGGCAACTGCAACTCTATATATGAGTCATCGTCATTCTCTTCCCTTACCACGCACAATATTGAAAACAGTAATGTTGATTAAAATCACTGTAAAGCATTTCAGGAAATGCTGTTGCAACCCCACGAAGATCAACCTGATACTGGACGAACCACCTGGAGTAGTCTTTCTCAATTTCAAACATATTAAATTGAACAGCACTGGAACTATAAGTCTCAACAAGATGTTAATGGCCTCGAGACTCTCCAAAGTAAGAAAAACTCCTGTGCGCAAATCCATCAGGAGTAGGAGGCATTGGCATTTCTCCCACTTTCTCTTCTTCAATGTCCAAATATAAAGATTTCAGCCTAAAATTAATCCAGTGAACGGCACCGTTCCAGAAAACACCACCCCCTGCATTTAAACTGAATGGACCAACGAAAGTATTTCCAGAATGTTGCCAACCCCCAGTTTTTGACGAGTAAATGAGCATCTCAAAACGGGTATTTTCTAAGGAATCACAAATACTCCTTACATAAATGGCTTTGCAATGAGGCGATTTCGAAGGATCAAATGCCAAGAAGATACCCAGAATAGCTCTAAAGACTCTAGTTCTGGCACGGATTGGAGGAAGCATAGTGTATTGCTTGGCAGTGGGATTGAAAACATGATAGTTGTCGAAATACTTCAAATTTAAGTAGGGGGAAAACTCCTTTACTTTCAAACTGCAACACAATAAGAGACCAATACAAGAATGCAGAACCATGATCTTTGACGAATCATCACCCAAAGTAAGCAATTGAAGGGGATTGCGAGATGAACTGGAATTAAGAATGATGAAGTCGTATTCTGAACGATCAATATTACACAAAAAGCGGCCAGAGATGGGTCTGGGTATAAGACTTCGGTCGGAGAAGTCAGGATCGGAGATAAGGGACAGCCAGTGTTTGGATTCTGAATTGAATATGAGCAAGGACTTGAATGGAAGACGAATGAGTAATTCAATCAAAAGATCATCATTGTTTGCAATTTCTTCGGCTGAAGAGGGGATTATAGTTATGCTTGTCTCTAGTTTGATTCTTTGGGCGGAGAGCATGGTGGGAAGTATGGCAAGACGACTAGAGTAATTTAGAGGTAGCAATTTATCAAACACTTTGTGTGCAAGAAACCCAAGAACCACAACAGAGTGACCAATTCGTATTTCATTTTGGAAATATGATCGGAGATAATGTTTACTTCTCCCTTCACAATGATTCTAGAATCATCAGCATATCTAATTTCAACCTACAATTAATCTTAAAGGATTTCACTACAGCGACACAAATCATACGTTTCTTTGCACAAACACAATTAAGAAATTTTTTCTTCTGCAACAAAAACCAAAATATAAGTATAAAGTTTAACCAGGAAAGACGGTTTTACCCTTAAGGTATAATTAAGATGGTGTTATTCGAAATAATGTTATGCTTACTCACAAACTTACTATCTTACTAACCTTTGTAAATATAAAGCATAGTAAGGATACCATAAGCATAATACGGATACCATATGTAATTTTAACAAAGGTGAGTAAGGCGGATAGTAAGTTCGTGAGTAAGCATAACATTATTGTATTCGAAAACATAAACCAACCGGTTGCCCGGATCTCTACTATAAGGGACGGAGTCACATAGAGTCCAATGACTAAGACCTACAGTGGATAAGGAAGGTGGTGTTTAGTGGAGTATTTAAAATAGTATTTTTGAAAAGTTAGTTGTGTTAAGTTATTATTATTAGAATAGAATTTGAATAAGAAAATGTGTTTGGTAAATTTTTTTAATATTATATTAAAGTTGAATAAATTGTTGAATAATTGTTAGATATATTTTTTTATAAATGATTTATTGATAGAATATTTTGATGCACTTTGTTAAAATAATTTATTATTATACCCTAAGACTTTTCAATTTACATTTTAATAATATTAAATATTTGTTTGGTAATTTTTTAATCAGTAAATTAAAAACAAATTCTCTATATTAATTTGAAGCCTAGTTAGTAAATAAGAGTATGGCAATAAAAGGGTACGAAAACTTTACAGTTATGATACAGTAAAGGGTGAAAAATATATTTGTAAAAATTTGACCATAAAATTTGGATATGAAAAAAATATGATACGGATATATACAAATTTAATGTGACATATTGTTAATAATACGTTTTGAAAAATATGACAGTATGAAAACCTTTTCCATATTATTATGATTGAACTTTAAGCTATAAGCTAAGAGGGAGGAGTTGAACTTAAACAAGTTATGTTTAAATTATATTAGAATGACGTTATAGTGATGCTAAAACACGCAATCCAATGATTAGATTCTAATCTCTATCTTAGATATTAAGTACATAATATGATTAATTGAATAAATTTTTTTTCAATGAACATTATTTCCATTCAATAATTCAATAATTAAGACTATAAAGTATATATTATATGACTTTAAATGCAAATTACACCTCAGTTCACGCAAACAAAGTTCTCAAAATGAACACAAATTACACCCAACAATAAGGGTCATTACCGAATATCAACTCTATGACAAATTAAAAAAACCAAACCTTGACACCTCTATAGCACAAACAAAAGTCTAATAAGAATCGAAACAAAGTACAAGAAGCCTTATTAGCAGGAAGCACCGGAAATGGTGTGGTAAAGGGAGGAGCTATGGCAGGACCGCATGAATAGATTGGATCTTAGTTTGAGAGACGGTAGGAGGAATTTTGTTGGTCAGCTTAGTCTGATTTGGCTCACTGGCACAACACCCTCTTTAAGGGACTGCAAAGCAACAGATTGTGTTGCCTTTTTCGGTTTTGATCCTTTTTACTTATTGCCTAGTCTGCACGTGTAAAATCACACTCAAATACAAATATAACTCTCACAAACATTTCATCAAACATTTTCAAACAAATCTATGAATCCACCAATATAACAAATCCATCAATCCACCAGTCCCCTTACTACCACTACTTTCACACCAGCACAAACACAAGCAATCAACCAACGTACGAGATTCAAAGAGAAGAGAAGAAGTGTGTATCTTGAAGTCTTACTCTTGGACTTGATGCTTGGAAAAGAGAGTTAAAGAGAAAGACTAAAGAGAAGAGAAGAAGAGATCAAGACTCAAGAGATGAAGAAAACTAGAAATCAACTTTAAAGACAACAATCCATTGAATTGCTGAAGATTTGAAGAAGAGTCGAACTACCGAAGACGTCAAAGAGAGCTATCAAAGAATTTAGGAAGATGAGAAAAGAGATTTTGATTAATTTGAGTCAAACCCTACCCTAAAACGATGTCGTTTTGGGGTGTTCCATTAATTTTCTTTTTTTTTTCAAAAATTAGTGAATTATACGGATGGTCATATTATACACGAATAATTCGGCAGCCCTTTATAAAATACGTTTATTCACGTTTTATACGCGAATTTGCTAACTAGGATTTGAAGTACTAATACACCATTTAAAAACACCACATTAATACATATCTGAATAGATAAATATGAAGCTGCTAATTATCATACATATCTGAATAGATAAATATGAAGCTACTAATTATCAACCCTTACAATCGTTCGTAAACCTATACTCCATCAACGACTACAACTGCCCACATTTCTGTCGTTATGTTATCCTACAGAGTCGCCATGTCGTCTATAATACGTTGATGAGATTGACTCGATCCCTCTCCAGTCCCTTCATCTTCTACCCTGTTTTGGACATCAAAATATACTTGCTCATTACCCCTATTTTCATTAAACCCTTCGAAGATAAGGTCCTGCATATTGTACCCTTCTGATAAAATTATGAAGTACACAACATGCCATAACAATTTTAGTTTCTTCAACGGATAACTGTTCATGCCATCGAGAATACGAAACCTTTTTTTTTTAAAACACCAAAGGTTCTCTCAACAACATTTCCGGAGTGATGCATGTCTATAGTTAAACAACTCAAATGGCCCATTGTGGTTACGACGGTGATCATGAAGATGGTAAGGAATCCGTCTATGAGGGGCAAGGAACCCCTCTCTATTTGCATAACCTGCATCAACCAAACAATATTTTCCTATAATAAAATTCTGAATGTTATTTATTTCCAAGGCTAAAAAATGGAGCAAGTACACTATAATACGTAAAGAAGTTACTTATACCTGGTGAGGATGTGGGAATCTAGAATTAGGATTATCAAGAACTGAATTTAAAATTCTGGAGTAATAGGCAGATCCTTCCTAGCCAGTGACGACATAAGTGAACATTATTATGAAGTCACATACATCCATTACATTCTGTAATAATGTACCTTTGCAATTCTGGTACCTTTCAGCCAACTCAGCTAGTGCCTAAGCATAGACATGTGTGTCATCAATCGCTCCAACACAGTCCTATCAACAAAATTGAATTTGAATAATATGAGCCGACTATCAACATTTATAACACAATGAAATTACCTACCTACTAATTAAAAAATAATAAATAAGTACCTTAAAGAAAGGGTAATATTTTTTGTTAGTCGATATTTTTAATGAAACATCACTGAAGTCAAGTGGCTTGATAAACTCTGTCTTCAACTCACATATCGCCCCGCAAACTTCACCCACATATCTACAGATTGTCTCACCCGAATGTTGGAAATCCTCCATAATAATACTGTTTGTCTCGTTTTTCCCTATGGTTGTAAAAAATATCTTAAGTTGCTCTTCAATACTCATCTTCCTGGTTACTCGCAATTTCCCTTGTTATGCCAAAATGTAACATAAGGATGTAAAACATTGTCGTTCCATGCGACACTTCCTAAATAATTTGTCAGGATGACCATTTAGTACTTCCAACATGTAATTGTGACCATTTAATGTGGATGTATGTCGTAATTGATTTCCTTGTGTTCTCAAGTTTGTTTCTAATGCTGCGCACAATGCAACTGCAACATCTACAAGTATTTCTTCTTCTTCATCTGTATTATTTCGGTTACGAACTGTACACCTAGATGACGCCATCTAAACTTGTACATTTGTAACACTTTGATCATCAATTCATAGCTGTTGTAGTACTCAGCAAAATATAACATTCAATTTTTAATTCTACTTATAATCTCCAACATATATGAAACATTTACTCTCACATTGCACAATAACACATTGAATAAGTTCATACAATAGCAAACATAATGAAGTCTTTAAAATGAAGGTGATGAAAAAAAAAAACAGCCGTAAAAGGAATAAGTATCAATTGGCGAGTACAAAACAATAGGGCAACACATAGGACAAATAGGCTCATCTACAAATTGCCAAAGTCCTTATAAGCCTAATGAACCCTTTGCTCGGGTGGTAGGTATACCAATATCTCCCACCGCTCTGGCTTGTTAACTAAGAACTTGAAAATCGCCATGTACATAATTGGATGTAGTTGCATAGTCATCAAAATGTCAATACATTTGCCTATGGAATATGGCTCAGTTGCAACGCTTGTGTTCTCTTCACCCCCCTCATCTTGACTGCGTTTTGTAGCCCTAGATCCCATACTTCTTTCAGCAAGAACGTCTGTCAATTTGGCAATCACACCCGCAAGTGCATGTCTTGGGCTGCATTTCTTCTTTTTATTTGTGGGTCTTGATCCATTTCCAGATATGTTTAACCATTTTTTCACAATTGTTCGATCCGGATCAGGTTCAAACTCACTCTCATCAATGTCAACTATTCCTTGATTGAAAAAATTCATGTTGGAATCCACTGGTTGAGACGTCGATGTGTAAGCAAATCTTCCAGTGGTAGTTTGCTTTTCAAATATAACTTCATATAACTTCTTATCAGCAAGTCCCTTATGGAAGAATTGCTGCGCCCTTGGGTTTTGCTGGTAATGAAAAAAAACATACATTAATATCTTTTTGTCCCATAAAATGCATACAAAGTATGGTGTCATACATTAATATGAATTTAAAATTTTTAAATTTACCTTGGTATATTCTTCCCAAATCTCTAAGGACATGTTGGAATTTGGGACTGATGGGCCCACTCGATTGAAGTAGTTTGTGCCAAGCTTGATATGTATTTCTCAACCGATACTTAGAAGATAAATGTCTAACTTCAAGTTTCTTCCCAACCAATGGTGATAACTCAGCACACATAATCTGGTAATCAGATGATTTAATTACAATGCCATGGGAAGTTTTCGCACACTTGGACAATAGAACAAGAAATTTGTGGGTCAACTCAAGGGACTAGTTTACGGACTCACTCATCTAATAATAGTACGGTGAGAACGACAACAAAGATTGGGACATCATAATAATAAGGAAAC